GAATAAAATTCGTTTAACTATTTCCAATGACTCAAACTAGATAGGGGATAGGGTTCCTTAATAATCTGGATTTTATCAATTGGAACTTAACGAATAAAATTCGTTTAACTATTTCCAATGACTCAAACTAGATAGGGGATAGGGTTCCTTAATAATCTGGATTTTATCAATTGGAACTTAACGAATAAAATTCGTTTAACTATTTCCAATAGTTCAAACTAGATAGGGGATAGGGTTCCTTAATAATCTGGATTTTATCAATTGGAACTTAACGAATAAAATTCGTTTAACTATTTCCAATAACTCAAACTAGATAGGGGATAGGGTTCCTTAATAATCTGGATTTTATCAATTGGAACTTAACGAATAAAATTCGTTTAACTATTTCCAATGACTCAAACTAGATAGGGGATAGGGTTCCTTAATAATCTGGATTTTATCAATTGGAACTTAACGAATAAAATTCGTTTAACTATTTCCAATGACTCAAACTAGATAGGGGATAGGGTTCCTTAATAATCTGGATTTTATCAATTGGAACTTAACGAATAAAATTCGTTTAACTATTTCCAATAACTCAAACTAGATAGGGGATAGGGTTCCTTAATAATCTGGATTTTATCAATTGGAACTTAACGAATAAAATTCGTTTAACTATTTCCAATAACTCAAACTAGATAGGGGATAGGGTTCCTTAATAATCTGGATTTTATCAATTGGAACTTAACGAATAAAATTCGTTTAACTATTTCCAATGACTCAAACTAGATAGGGGATAGGGTTCCTTAATAATCTGGATTTTATCAATTGGAACTTAACGAATAAAATTCGTTTAACTATTTCCAATGACTCAAACTAGATAGGGGATAGGGTTCCTTAATAATCTGGATTTTATCAATTGGAACTTAACGAATAAAATTCGTTTAACTATTTCCAATAACTCAAACTAGATAGGGGATAGGGTTCCTTAATAATCTGGATTTTATCAATTGGAACTTAACGAATAAAATTCGTTTAACTATTTCCAATAACTCAAACTAGATAGGGGATAGGGTTCCTTAATAATCTGGATTTTATCAATTGGAACTTAACGAATAAAATTCGTTTAACTATTTCCAATGACTCAAACTAGATAGGGGATAGGGTTCCTTAATAATCTGGATTTTATCAATTGGAACTTAACGAATAAAATTCGTTTAACTATTTCCAATAACTCAAACTAGATAGGGGATAGGGTTCCTTAATAATCTGGATTTTATCAATTGGAACTTAACGAATAAAATTCGTTTAACTATTTCCAATAACTCAAACTAGATAGGGGATAGGGTTCCTTAATAATCTGGATTTTATCAATTGGAACTTAACGAATAAAATTCGTTTAACTATTTCCAATAACTCAAACTAGATAGGGGATAGGGTTCCTTAATAATCTGGATTTTATCAATTGGAACTTAACGAATAAAATTCGTTTAACTATTTCCAATAACTCAAACTAGATAGGGGATAGGGTTCCTTAATAATCTGGATTTTATCAATTGGAACTTAACGAATAAAATTCGTTTAACTATTTCCAATAACTCAAACTAGATAGGGGATAGGGTTCCTTAATAATCTGGATTTTATCAATTGGAACTTAACGAATAAAATTCGTTTAACTATTTCCAATGACTCAAACTAGATAGGGGATAGGGTTCCTTAATAATCTGGATTTTATCAATTGGAACTTAACGAATAAAATTCGTTTAACTATTTCCAATAACTCAAACTAGATAGGGGATAGGGTTCCTTAATAATCTGGATTTTATCAATTGGAACTTAACGAATAAAATTCGTTTAACTATTTCCAATGACTCAAACTAGATAGGGGATAGGGTTCCTTAATAATCTGGATTTTATCAATTGGAACTTAACGAATAAAATTCGTTTAACTATTTCCAATAACTCAAACTAGATAGGGGATAGGGTTCCTTAATAATCTGGATTTTATCAATTGGAACTTAACGAATAAAATTCGTTTAACTATTTCCAATGACTCAAACTAGATAGGGGATAGGGTTCCTTAATAATCTGGATTTTATCAATTGGAACTTAACGAATAAAATTCGTTTAACTATTTCCAATAACTCAAACTAGATAGGGGATAGGGTTCCTTAATAATCTGGATTTTATCAATTGGAACTTAACGAATAAAATTCGTTTAACTATTTCCAATAACTCAAACTAGATAGGGGATAGGGTTCCTTAATAATCTGGATTTTATCAATTGGAACTTAACGAATAAAATTCGTTTAACTATTTCCAATGACTCAAACTAGATAGGGGATAGGGTTCCTTAATAATCTGGATTTTATCAATTGGAACTTAACGAATAAAATTCGTTTAACTATTTCCAATAACTCAAACTAGATAGGGGATAGGGTTCCTTAATAATCTGGATTTTATCAATTGGAACTTAACGAATAAAATTCGTTTAACTATTTCCAATGACTCAAACTAGATAGGGGATAGGGTTCCTTAATAATCTGGATTTTATCAATTGGAACTTAACGAATAAAATTCGTTTAACTATTTCCAATAACTCAAACTAGATAGGGGATAGGGTTCCTTAATAATCTGGATTTTATCAATTGGAACTTAACGAATAAAATTCGTTTAACTATTTCCAATGACTCAAACTAGATAGGGGATAGGGTTCCTTAATAATCTGGATTTTATCAATTGGAACTTAACGAATAAAATTCGTTTAACTATTTCCAATGACTCAAACTAGATAGGGGATAGGGTTCCTTAATAATCTGGATTTTATCAATTGGAACTTAACGAATAAAATTCGTTTAACTATTTCCAATAACTCAAACTAGATAGGGGATAGGGTTCCTTAATAATCTGGATTTTATCAATTGGAACTTAACGAATAAAATTCGTTTAACTATTTCCAATAACTCAAACTAGATAGGGGATAGGGTTCCTTAATAATCTGGATTTTATCAATTGGAACTTAACGAATAAAATTCGTTTAACTATTTCCAATGACTCAAACTAGATAGGGGATAGGGTTCCTTAATAATCTGGATTTTATCAATTGGAACTTAACGAATAAAATTCGTTTAACTATTTCCAATAACTCAAACTAGATAGGGGATAGGGTTCCTTAATAATCTGGATTTTATCAATTGGAACTTAACGAATAAAATTCGTTTAACTATTTCCAATGACTCAAACTAGATAGGGGATAGGGTTCCTTAATAATCTGGATTTTATCAATTGGAACTTAACGAATAAAATTCGTTTAACTATTTCCAATAACTCAAACTAGATAGGGGATAGGGTTCCTTAATAATCTGGATTTTATCAATTGGAACTTAACGAATAAAATTCGTTTAACTATTTCCAATAACTCAAACTAGATAGGGGATAGGGTTCCTTAATAATCTGGATTTTATCAATTGGAACTTAACGAATAAAATTCGTTTAACTATTTCCAATGACTCAAACTAGATAGGGGATAGGGTTCCTTAATAATCTGGATTTTATCAATTGGAACTTAACGAATAAAATTCGTTTAACTATTTCCAATAACTCAAACTAGATAGGGGATAGGGTTCCTTAATAATCTGGATTTTATCAATTGGAACTTAACGAATAAAATTCGTTTAACTATTTCCAATGACTCAAACTAGATAGGGGATAGGGTTCCTTAATAATCTGGATTTTATCAATTGGAACTTAACGAATAAAATTCGTTTAACTATTTCCAATAACTCAAACTAGATAGGGGATAGGGTTCCTTAATAATCTGGATTTTATCAATTGGAACTTAACGAATAAAATTCGTTTAACTATTTCCAATAACTCAAACTAGATAGGGGATAGGGTTCCTTAATAATCTGGATTTTATCAATTGGAACTTAACGAATAAAATTCGTTTAACTATTTCCAATAACTCAAACTAGATAGGGGATAGGGTTCCTTAATAATCTGGATTTTATCAATTGGAACTTAACGAATAAAATTCGTTTAACTATTTCCAATGACTCAAACTAGATAGGGGATAGGGTTCCTTAATAATCTGGATTTTATCAATTGGAACTTAACGAATAAAATTCGTTTAACTATTTCCAATAACTCAAACTAGATAGGGGATAGGGTTCCTTAATAATCTGGATTTTATCAATTGGAACTTAACGAATAAAATTCGTTTAACTATTTCCAATGACTCAAACTAGATAGGGGAAAGTAAAAATTTAAAAAAAAAAAAGTAAAATTTTTAAACAAAGGCACAATTTGTCCTTTTCTGTCATTCCAACCTCAAAATGACTAAGTTTTGATTCAGAATCGGAATCATCGTTATCAAATTCACTGCTTACGTTGACTTGATTTTCGTTGTTTTCCAACTTGCTTTGATGCGAGGACGAAGTCTGATTAATCGAAAAATCCTCTAAACGCGGCCGTTTCTGAGCTCGTCTAAATGTTCAAGCCGGCTTCTAATCATTTTAAATGCAGAAAATAATCTAAAAATTGAAAAAATAAAAGACAATAGCGATAAAGAATATCCGCTAGTCAAATCCTAAGTTTACAAGAGCATTTCACCAATTATTAACTTAGTGGGACGAATCCAAAGTTTTTGCACAAGGGGACGAAACCAAGGGGGACGAACCCAGGGTTTTTGTACAGTGGGACGAAACCAAAGTTTTTGTTCAGGGGGACGAAACTAAGTGGGCCGAAACCAAGGGGGACGAACCCAGGGTGGGACGAAACCAAGCGCAGCCAATCTTGTATCCTCAAATGTCAGTCCTTAAATGTCCGTCCTCAAAAATCCGTCCTCAAATGTCTGCCTGCCAGTCTCAAAGCTTGAAAAGTACTTAGAAATATCCAAATTTTCTCAAAAATTAAAAACTTCATTAACTCATTTTATAATTAACAACAAAATTTAACATTTCAACCACAAAAAAAAAATTTTTTTTCAAATTATTTTTCCTTCCTTTCTTTCTTTCCCGTTTTCACGCCTTAAGAGCAAACACACGAACTGGACAACGACGTTCATTAACCTTTTGCTTGTGTGTCTTCAAAGATAATTCATGCTTGGTAAGAGCACGACGCATTGCGCGAGTCTTCTTGTAACGCAAATCCAAAGGCTTGTACTTTTTGCCCTAAAAAACAAAAAAAATTTCTTTAAATTTTAAAATATAAAAATGAATCAAAAATTTTTAGAAATGAAATTGTATTTTAGAAAGGTTGTTGAAGGTGTTCCTCAACCAGCAGATAATTTAGAATTTCTGGAAAAAAAAGTCAAGGACCTAGCCGTCACAATTCCCTAAGATTGATTTTCTTTTTCCTTTCTCCAAAAATGACAGATGGGGCCAACATACCAAATAATCCAACAAAAAATATCGAAAATAAAGACCAGACATAGACGGGTAAGTTACTAGCTTTCACAATTAAAAGCAATTGTCAATATGGTCTGTGTGACATAAAAGCTTTATGTGAAGAAACTAAAATAGTGGCGTATAACCATTATGAATGTTGTCCCTCCCTAAGCCACCCAAATAATTTAATAAAAAATTTTTTAACCTTGTAGAACTTTCGCAAATTCAACTTCTGCGCCTGATTGATAATTGTCAAAATACGCGCAATGTTCTTTCGCACAACACGAATGCTAGAAAGTTTGGAAACAGCTCCATTCGTTACTTTGGCAACCTTAAAAATAAAATTAGAATTCGATTATTTATTAGTCTTAACTAAAAAGGCCCAAATCTCAAATGCCATTCAAAGAGATAAAAAAGTTAAAACTCAGACAATTGATCCAATCTATTTTTTTCTAGCTCCCAGTCATTTAACCTAGGATTTATGGCATGGAACCAGCTAGGGTAAAATGTTCCAGAACACAAAAAATATTTGAGAGCAGGCCACTTTACCGCGAGCCCATTATGTATGGTTCGATGCGCCTTAACGAGCTGAATCGAACCATACTAGGGCCTCCCGGATTCGACAATTTTGAACGAAGTTATAGCTAGGCGGTATAATGGGCTCGCGGTAAAGTGGGGGTATACCCTAAATATTTTTAAAGTCACGAAAAAATATCTTAAAGGGTCTCTTTCTACTTTAAAGTTTTTAAACTCAAAAAAAAATTTTTCGCATTTTATCTAAGGTCACTTAAGATCGAATTTAAGGTACTGGGCCCTATAACAACACGGCCTACTGCAAATAGGAAGTCGTGGGTCCTCTATAGTAGAATTGTATAAAATACAATAGACCGTTGTACGTCTTAAAGGACAAAAATTTCCCTAGAATGTCCAACCCCACCAAAAAATTCTACTCAAAATTCTCCTCAAAAAACAATAAACCTGAAGACTGGCAAGCTCAGTTTTCTGTTCCTCCAAAAGTTTCAACAATTCCTCCTTTTTACCGCGAAGATCACGTGTCTTGATGCGTCCCATTTTTTAAAAAAAAGTTTTTTAAGCTTCAAAAGTTTCTAAAAGTCTAAAAACAATTAAAATTATTAAATAACAAATTAAAAAAAAATTTTTAAACGTTACAAAACGTTTTGATTAAAAATAAAAAAATTAAAAATAATTTTTAAAAAATATTTTTTTATATGAGACATTCAATTGAGACTCAAAAATAAATTATAAAAAAAAATTTTAAAAAACGCTTTTAGTCTAGGCAGACAGAATGAGCACTTATCCGAGCAATAATAGGATGAATTTGGTCCTCAGAAAGAGCATCAGATTTCCATGAATGCATTAATGACCTAAATTTAAATAATAAAAAGTATATTTTAGGTTGTCTGGAATGAGTCTTATTCTAAACAAAAAGCCGAAAATAAATTCAAAAAAAGAAAAAAGTACTAAAATTTTTGGTAGGCGGACATATCAGGATTGCTGTGTGGAAAATAAGCTTAAGAGTGTTTATGTTGGTTCTGAAAAACATAAAAACAATCGGGGCCAATGTTCGCCTCCCCCCCCCCTCACACACACCGAAATCGGCCACCTAGCTACGCCTTTGCAATGTACTTACTTACATTAGTCCGGTTAATTTTTCCCTGTGGCGAGGCTTTCGTTTTTCTCTTCTCTTTTTGCCCCACCACAGGGAAAAATTAACCGGGCGGTTATCCGCATGCCGAATTTTTAAATCTTTAACCCGAATTCTTTCAAAGAATCAGAATTTGAAAAAATAAGAATATTCTCATCATTGAAAGTAATTCTAATTTAGGCAAGAACATCCCCTTGACCCTAATCAAAAAAAAAACCTCCATACTTTTCTATCCGCTCATCACAACTTGTTTGAGCATTTCCCAATTGCGTTTCTTCATTTTCCAATAATTTAAGAGTTCCAATAATAAGCACATTATGTTGAGTAAAAAGTAGAGGAGAACTTTCTGGGTCAGCAAGTGAATGAAGAAAAAGAGGCGCTTTATCACTTAATTTTTCCAATCCTTCCAAAGAAAGTGCAAATGTTGTAGATTGTTTTTCGTCAATAACAGGAGAAAGTATACCCCGATCAAGTTGAATTCTTGTTATGTTTGGATTGAGATGATGTTTGAAAATTCTAAAAGATTTAAGTAAAATAATTATTTTTTGAAGTTAAAAAGCAAATTGATTTTATTGAAAGAAAGGATAAGGAACCACGGTTCAAATAAAAAGAATTTTTTGAGCTAGAATACACGAAAACATGTTGTTAGTGCTTGTGTGTGCTTTTAGTGTGTGCTTTAGTGCTTGCTTGTTACTTAACACTTGTTAGTGCTTTCATTCAGTCATAGTCCAACTCATAGTCAACAAACGCGCCCTCAAGGAGTCGAAGCCAAACCCTAATTCAAACCCCCCAAAGGGAAGTCATTTCTAGCAAAATTTAATCCCTAATCCCACAAAAGAAAACAATTCTCTAACAAAAATTTTGTCAATTAAAAAACCTGTATGGCCAATGTCTTTGCAAAATATCAGAAAAATTTCCAGCCAAAAAATTTGCCTTGTTATCAGAAAAAGAATCAGCTATCAACAAAGTCAGAGGACTCAATCTTCTATCATTACAACTTAATTGAAGCTCATCTCGTTCAGAAATTTTTGCAGCAATATAAGAAAGAATTTTGAATGTTTTAGAGTTTGAACCCTGAAATTTTCTTTTAAATTAAATTTTTTGGTGAAATTAAAAAACCTCGTCAAATTCTTCGCTAAAATATTCAGTCAAATCCTTGCGAAAATTTGTATATCTTTGTTTAGGACTCAAACGACCATAAGAAAAATAATTTGGTAGAACATAGTAAAACAAGAAAATCAATAATAAAATAAGGCAGGCAAACATGAGGAGGTTAAAGGCTGTAAAAATATTTTTTAAAGTTTTCCTTTGTAAAAATTACTAACCTAAGTCCAAATTAAGTTTTTAGAGATCCCTTGGTTACGCCCTTGCTCGTTCTACTCTAATCCAAACTAAAAGAAACAGGCCAGCAGCCAGGAACTAAAAGAAACAGGCCAGCAGCCAGAGGAAGGGATTCGCCCTCCCCGAAATGAGGAAAAGAAATAAGTTGGGGAGGCCTTACACAATTATCAAAACTCTCCCGAAAATTTTTCCTGACTACGGACCAAAGAATAAACCTGTAAAAAATCCATTCTGTTCCGAATCAAATTCCGTTCGTCCATAGGTACCAATACTCCGTCTACGCCTTCGGGGAGAACTCGTTGATCGACTCTGCGTCCTTTCCTGTTTATTTGGTATACGCCATCCAATTACTCGTGATTGACGATGTGATTGAAAATTGTTAAAATCTTCGTCGTCTTCTTCATCTGATTCTTCCTCAACCTCATACTGTTCAAAAGTATTGCTAAAAATGAGGAATAAAGAAAGGAATATTTTATTATTTCAAAACACTTTAAATTTAATGGTAAATGTGGGTTTAACGAACCCTGGAAAAAATTGAGTGTCTAGTGGTAACCTTGAAAAATATCGAAAAAGCATTACTCAACCACTCCCAAGGAGTGAAACTTAGGACGGCCATAACTAGGCCCAAACTAATTTTGCAATAAAAATGATAACGCCACGACACTAAGTCAAGGGTCCTCTATCGAATGGTACCAAAAAATATATCAAATTCGCACTGACAATAAACAATGTTCCCTTGTCAGTAAGCCAAAAATTGATTTCCTAATATTTCCTCTACAATAAACAGGTTTGTGATGGCCAAAAATTCCTTAGACAACACACCCTCAACCCCAAAAAATAAAAAAAAATCATTAAAACCTTGTCATTGGAGGCCAGCTATTATTAACCATCTTATTTGCCCGCCGATTCCTCGTCCTTTCATTTTCTTCATCATCCTCCGATCTCAAAAGATTAGGAAAATAACGTCCTCTCAAATGCACTGCCTCTTCATTATCATCAAAATCTTCGTCATCTTCTTCCTCTTCCATATCCTGTCCTCTTCTCATATCCAAACTTTCATTCAAATCTGCTTTAAGACTGCGTCTGTGCCAAATCCTCATAAAGCTTTTAAAAAGAAAGTTAAAAAAATTAAAAAATTAAAGAGATATTCATTGAAATCAAACAATTAACAAACAAAAAAATTGGGTACCCATCGGTTATACGCCCCACAAACTGAGTGGCAGTCAAATTTGATCAGCTTTAACTTTTTGATGCTTGATTTCGTTCAAATAAATTCTATATCATTCGAAAGCCTACGCCCGTTGGTCTGGAACCGTTCCTTACCCAATCCCTCGAAATTTCTGAAAATTATAGCCAATTTTTAAAAATTTCAGAAAAACGATTTTAACTTTCAGAAATTTCGAGGGATAGGGTAAGGAACGGTCCCAGACCCAATGGACAGATCCCGAACATGAAAAAATTTTTTGGACCCACATCCCCTACTCTACAACACCAAGAAAACTCCAGTTTCTTGTTGATAGGACGCATAAAAGTTCATGGGACGATTGTCCTAACAAATTAAAATAGAGCAATCAAATTTCACTGGCACTCAGTTTGTGGGCGTATAACCGAAAGGTACCAAAAAATTTTTTGGGATGAATAATTTACGCAAAAACATTAAAACAAAATGAAAAAAAAACATTTTAAATAGGGTTGGGGGCCGATCCGAAAGATCGAGTCGGACTCGAATTTTGGCCCGAAAAGATTTGGTTTGGCCGGCCCGAAAAACTCGACTCGAACGTCGGCTCGAAAACTCCCAACCCTAATTTTAAAAGAATGTGTGTGGGACAAGGTGCGGAAGAGAGCTTTTCAAATAAAACTTAATTTATGTTGTCATGTGTCATCCAAAAAAGGAATAAAAGGAATTAATTGTCCTCAATTTTCTCAAATTTTTCTTAAAAAAAATCCAAAATATAGCGGTGATGTTTTTATGTTGTTTTTAGCCATTCCAATAATCAAAAAAAAAATAAAGATGGGATAGAATAAAGAAAAAGGACAATTTTTTAATTTAGTCGAATACTTGAATTTTTTTACTAGGTTTTTTGTATGCGTTGTCTCGTGTTTTTTTTACTGTGCCGTCAAAACAAATAATTAAAAGAAAAAACAAAATTTTGCCAAATAACTTCTCTGTCACTCTCTCATTTTTTGTCTTGGTCATCTCAAAGCTTAATCCTCATCCGCCTATAAAAATTTTTAGAAAAATTTGGCTCTTGTCCAGTTTAAGCGTCCAATCGCATCTTTATACGTCCAATCAACTTTTTGCGTCCAATCACATTTTTTAATTACTCGGTTCTACACTACATTACCGTAAAATCTATGGAAATGGAAAGCTCTACTTACCCAGAGTTATTACCAGACCGTAGGTTTTAACACATAAAACCGGGTACTTATGAAATTTGAGTGGACCCAAAAGTTCATTGGACGCATAAGAATTCGTTTGGACGTATAAAAGTTTCATTGGACGTATAAAGGTGATTGAACGTTTAAACTGGACAAGAGCCAAAAAATTTTAAAAGAAAAAAAAATTAAAAATAAACGTTTTCTCGACGATTACGCGCTGGAGCATTTCCACCAGTGCTTCTCGAACTTCCTCCACCATAGCCACCCTTATGCGGAATATTTTCAGAATTTTGCTTGGAAGTCTTGTCAGAATGTTCAGTGCTGCTGAGAGCGCCATTATAAGAACTATCCTCAACACTTTTGCTATCTGAATTTGTTCAAAAATTAATAAAAAAATATAACAAAAATATAACCATCACTGTCCTGACGGTTTTGAGCAGGAAGCTGTTTCTGTTCAAGTGGAGGGCTTTTCTCTTCAGCATCAACGGAACGCTGAGCATCTCTAGCAGGAAAACGCTGTCCCTGTCCAGGTCGACCAGTTCCAGTGCCTCCTCCCCTACCGCCAGCAGAACGTCCCAAATAGCGATTACCTCCTAATTTAGCGGAAATTTATCGCGGCAAGAAATTATAAAAAAATAAATTTAAAAGAAACAAAACCTTGAGGACGAGCCCCAAAAGTATTTCCAGAATTTTGATTGGATTGAAAACGACCGGTAGTAACGCCCGCACCGCGTTGACCAGCACCGCCATCTCTAATCGGAAAACGCTGTCCTCCTCCCTGTCCAGTACCACCACCTCCAGTTCCACGATATCCACTTACGCCCATCGAACGACGATCGCCACTATCACCACCTTGAAGAAAAAAATAATTTTAAAATAAAAAATCCCAAAACTTTTACCATTAACAGCACGAGCATTTCCACCGTCAGGTCGATTGCGATGATAAGGTTGAACAGACTGATTCGAATTGTTTCCGTAATGAGCATTATATGGCGAGCTTCGAGACATGTAAAGCTTACGACGAATTTCCTCTTCCTCGCTAGAAATTTTTAAATTTTTAAATTATCAATAAAAACCCCCTTACAGTCTAATAGCATCCATTTCAGAAATATGTTTAAGTTGAAAATCAACCATAAGTTCAGCATACATCAAAGCTTCACGAGTGCCAGTAAATGTGAGCGGAACCATCCCCTGCTAATGAATTTATAAAATGATTGTAATAAAAAATTTAAAGGATAGAGGTAATGGAAGGTCAAAAAAGTAAAAATTGAGCAGGAATACCTCCGGATTTTCATCACCAATTTGAACACGAAGCACACCACTTTTGTCAACAATATCCTAAAAAAGAAAGATGTTTAAATGGAAAGGAGCATTGAATAGGAGGGAAGAATGGCAGAATGCTATCAAATTAGTGGAATACTGATCAATACATAAGCCTGACATGTCGGCCCAAACAATCTTAAGAACTAAAAACCGGATTGCCTTAACAATGGAAACAAAGAGAATTTCATGTTCCTTTGTTGGAGGGCCCCAGAATATAGAGAACAGATAAGACCCGTTAAGGCCAAATCCTACCATAGGGAAACCCGTTATAGCCCCATCCTACTCATCTAAATCACTTAACAAATCAGAAACGAAAATCAAATCATAACCTGAATAGTCTTTCCTTGCTTCCCAATAACTTGCCCAACACGTCCTTGAGGAACCAATTTTTGCTGTTGTGAGATTTCCAACATATTTCGAGCACGCTCAGCAGCTTCAGCGTTATTAGCATAAATCTAAAGGGAAAAAATGTCGAAAACGTTCAATAAGATGAACAAAACCTTAAATTTGCAAAATCCTTGATTGCGAGTAGATTCGTCAAGAATAATGTCCTTAAAGTTGAAAAGGTTAGAAAGGTTGTTTAGAATTAGAAAACCTTAATTCCATCAAGACTGCGCGCTGAAGTAATATTAGCGCCTTGAGAGCCAATAGCCATTCCCATAAAATTGATTGAAACATCAAACTCAACTAGAAGAGGCGCCGCAATGTTTGGCTCGTGAATAGACAACATTTTCTTCTGTTCCTATAAAAGAGAAAAATGTGAGAACTCAAGTCATGTAGGCATTATAAAGCCGAGCAGGCCCGTAACCAGGGGGGGGGTGAGGGGGGGAATTCCCCCCCCCCCCCGAAATGGGAAAAAGGAAAAAATTTGGGGAAGGGCTGGGGCAAAAAAGTGAATTTTTTTGGCCTACGGCCTTCGAAATTTTCAAAATTTTCGCCTGCGGCGCTAAAAAAGGACGAAATCTGGCTTCTTGAGGTCCAAAATTCAAAAAATTTTCGCCTGCGGCGCTGAAAATCAAATTTTTGGCGCCTGCGGCGCCGAAAAAGTGAATTTTTTGGCCTACGGCCTTCTAAAATTAAAAAAATTTTCGCCTGCGGCGCTAAAAATAAAAATTTTTGGCGCCTTCGGCGCCAAAAATTTGGCGCAATAAAATTTCCCCCCCCCCCCCCCGAAAAAAAATCCTAGTTACGGGCCTGAAGCCGAGGCCATTGAAGGTTTGACTCATGGGGTAGTAGTCAAGAGAAACCCCTAGCTTGGCAACTGTCCAGCGGGATCTTTAAAGTAGAATAGCACCCCGTCCCCCGACAAATTTATAGACAAAAACCTTGACCCAAGGCTCTACCCCTCCAAAACCCGACACTCCCGCCTTCAATGGCTCGGGGGTGCTGCCCTAGTGTAAAGGTCTATACCCCAAGGAAGTAGTGAAAAAGTAACCCATTGGAAAGGTAAACTCCAAAAAACATGAATTAACAACCTCTTGCCGTTGAATTAAAGTCATCTTCTGTCGACTATTCGTCAAAAAGACATCCTTCAAAATGTCGACTTTTTTGATAATTGTTGGAGACAGAGCCTAAATTTAGGAAAATTTAATTTATTCAACAAAAAAAAAGAAAAACCTTAATAACCAGTTCCTTTTTCTCTTTATCAAGTTTGATAAGAATGCCGTTGATTGACTCACGAAGAACCTTAAAAAAGGAAAAGTGAAGAGTATATATAGTAACAGATTTATAGGATTAGAGTGGAAATCAAAAGAAGCTGTAAAGTAGTGCCACATATCAATGAACTATGGAAGGGAGGGGGATCCTTCTAAACACCCGAAACAACGTATTCAGTAAAGATCGACCTGGGTCAGTACCAAGGTCTGGAGTTTTTCCTGTACCCAGAGTCCAGGCATTTTTGACCTTCCTGGGTTATTCCTGGACTACAGGCCCAGTGTCCGGCCAAGGTCAATAAATCAAACCCGGAACTCAGAAACAGGCCCAGATTTTCAAAAATTCCGATCTCTAATATTCAGCCTATCAGACCAAACTTAATAAGACCCAAATCCCCTCAATAACTCATCAAAAAGCCGTTGAAGCTTCCAACAATCCCCAAATCCTTCCCTTAAAGGCGGAAATCAAAAGAAGCTTTGAAGTAATGCACACATCGATAAATTATAGAGGGGAGAGGGGGGAGAACATTTACACGCTCGAAACACCATACTTAAACTATCAAGCCCTGATAAGGCCCACGTCCCCTAAATTTGACAAAAGTTGTAACCCACATCTCAAAAAAGCCGTTGCAGCTTCCATCAATTCCCCAATCCTTCCCCATTTAATAAACAAAACTGAAAACCTTATAACGCTCATCACTCTGCTCAAAATATTCAAACAAATCGCCAGCAGGAATTACACAACTTTGGATTGAAGAATTCGTGACGACCATCGAAAGGTTTGGATGTCGGCAATCAGTGATGGGAACAATGTCATTGATTACATTTTGGCCCTCATTTCCTTCAACAACAGCAAAACAATTCTAAAAAATTACAAAAGTTAGACCCCAAAACCATCAAAAAAAAACCTTAATATCCCGAATCTTCATTGAATGCCAAGCCCGTTTGTCCCCCTCATAACGAACATAAGCATCAACAACATCCCCAACTTTCACTGGTTGCTGGTTCTTTGCTTTGTCTGAAGACGCGTCCACTTCTACCCGGCATTGTTCAAACTTGACCCATTCTGGTTTTCGCCAACCATTGTCGTAAATAACATCGAAACTGTCGTCAGAGATGTCATTTACCAATGCTTTGAGGTAGAAACCGTCAGTTTGTTTAACTTCAACTTCCATATTGTGGGAATGACAATAAAATAGATAAAATAAAAATTTTCTGAAAAAATTGAGAAAGTTTTAAAGATTTTTAATTAAGAAAAAAAAAGTCGACAGAAAGACGACCTAACAAAATTTTAAGGAAACTATAAGTAATTTATTGGGGGTACAGCTCGGCGCGGGGCCATAACGGCGCAAGGCCATAACTTGCTGGAATATTTCTAGACCTTATCAATTTTGGTACTAATCTCTTTAGCTCGATGAGAGGACTCGATTGATACTAAATTTGGTAAGATTGGGAAATTTTGAAGTAAGTTATGGCTTTGCGCCGTTATGGTCGCGCGCCGTTTTGGGCGTGTCCCATTTTATTGGCTAGGAAGTTACAGGGCTGTCGGGACAGAAACCTAACGGGGATTTTAGGGATCCTGTAGCGAAATCCTGCGTATTAAGCGACGAAATGGATTTACTGGATTAGCCCTGCGGGATCCTGCCTCGTTCAATCTTTTCAAAAAAATCCCGTTACGCGTCCCCGTGAATGCATTTTCCCGTATACTAGGGAAAATCTAAATGAGAATTTTAAACTTTCTAGGTCATTCTATCAATGCCTCCTGATTCCCGTTTGCTCCACAACTGAAGCTAAATCAATTCAAGTTGGTAGATTAATTTTGGTATGAGAATTAAGAGAAGCATCACACTCTCATTTCGACTAAATTTGGGATCTCTGAAAAATCATAGACATCTTTTAACGTTGAAAAAACGATTTCTAAACTGAGGGGCTAGAACTTTATGAAGAAAGAATTATTTTGATTGATTTAATTGATTGATTTAATTTCACAAGCAAAATATTGGGCATTACCAATTTTGCTTATTCTAGGTTACAATTAGTGAAAAAACTTTTCGAATCAAATTAAAGACTTCACTTTTTGTTGAAGACTTAATGATTTGAAACCTCATTTTAGAAAATTAAAGCAATCTCTACCCTTAAATAGTTACTTAAAGAAATTGCCCAATTTAAAAAATACAAAATTGTCGAAATGCCAATCATTCATTTATTTTAGAAAAATCAATGGGAAATTACTGGACGTTTCAAAATTATTCTTTTCATAGTAGAGCTAGGAACGGGTCCGGGCCCGTTTCCGGGTCCTTTTTCCCGGTTTTTTTTGAAGCAACCGGGATGAAACCGGGAACGGGAATTCACGGTTTTCCGGTCAAGTAGAGGTCATAATTAGAGGTCGGCACAGGACAGGATCCCGCACAGGATTTTTCAGGATCCTGTCCGAAATCCTGCCTTTTTTCAGTTTTCAGGATTATCAGGATTAATCCTGCAGGATCCTGTCCTGTTCGAAATTTTAAAACCCAATCCTGTTACAGGATCCGTCCTGTTAATTTTCATGGTTCAGGATTTTATTTTGTCGCCTGCGGCGCTGAAAAAGGACAATTTTTGTCTTACTGGCCTTCCAAAATCCTCAAAATTTTCGCCTGCGGCGCTGAAAAAGGAAGAAATCTGGCACCAAAATCCCAGAAGTTTTGCCTGCGGCGCTGTAAAGGGAAGTTGAATGGTATATCAGAGGATTTGGACAGATTAAGGAGAATTCCTATTGTAGACGAAAATTTCAGAACTCACAAGGCCTTTGAGGGCCTCTCACGATATCTAATCACAAGGCATTTTTGCGACTTCACAAGATATATAATCACAAGGTTTTTGGCGGCCTCACACAATATCTACTCATCGGGTTTTTGGGGGCCTGTCACGATATCTAATCACAAGATATTTAATTGATTTGACAAAATATTTCATTTGATTTAAAATCGGGATATAATTGAAAGAAAAGCGAGAATTTCGAGAATAATAAATAGAGTAGTGATTTTTATGCAAATGCATATTTTTTTGCAAACTTGGCATGATGTAAAAAATATCAATTTGTCGAACTATGCATTTAAAATGTGAGTGATCTTAATAAAAAATTGTTGTTTGAATGTTTTTGACTAAAAAATGTAAAATTTCTAGGTAAAAATTGTATTTTTCTTGTATATTTGCATGCATATTTTGGTTTTCTTGCATATTTTCTTGCATATTTTGTTATTTTTTCGCGCATATTATAGTGCATATTTTGAATTTTTTAAAGCATAAAATTCACAACTCTAATAATAAAGTCTGATAAATTAAAAGAATAATTTTCCATTTAGAATTAACTATAGCAGAACGAATCAAATTTTTTCATTGTTGAATTTTTTAACCTGCAGTAATCTTACCCAGTGTTTTGAAGATCGTCCGAAATTCGTACTCGTATTTTTGTACTCGTACTAGTGCGAGATAATATAGCCTTAACTTTTTTAAATTTATTTAAATAAAATGTTATTTTATTTAAACGTTTTAACAATAAAAAAGACTTTCACACGGCCTTTGATTTTTTCATAGATTTAAAAATTGCCAACTTTTTTTGAGAAAAATCGAGGCTATAATCTCGATATTATAATTTAACTTTTAGCCCTCGTTTTTATTTAAAAATTTTAATTAATTTTTCAATGAATTGCCCGCCCATTCATCGCATTCAAAAAGAGAGGGCTGACTGCTTTTATTCACTCGCATTTTAATTTTCATCATTTTCCCCAGTTAAATTTTATTTTTAAAAATTAAAAAAATTTTTTAATTAATCACTTTAAAATTTTGGAAAATTGGAATTTAAATTAACTCGGGAAACCCCAATTTGTGAAATCGGTAATTTTTTAGCCTAGCAGATTTTGTTGTTAAATGTATGATATTTATTAACCGTTATTTACTTATTTTGCCCAATCCTATTATATTTATTCTCAATAAAATAATTTCAACTAATTACCGGGCCGATATAAATTAGTCCAACGAAAATTTGGAGTTATTATTTGAACCCAGGGTATTTGAATAAATATGTAAAAATGCTTTATTTATAAAATAAAAAACATAAAGTCCCCGTTTTTAAACCACAGGGATTGACCCACTATTAAGTAAATTTGAAGTTGAGTGTAGACTAACAACTTAATCACTCGACCTTCGTTCCTGAAAGAGTTCAATTTTCCTTATTTAGAGAGTTTCCCGATTTTGCATTATTGCTCGATCCCAACTAATAACTGCCGTAAATATATACTGTAAAGATACACTTCTCGTTAATGAAGAAAATAATTTTAAAATAATTCCAGAAAATAATGAAGCTTTCATTATTTTTATTACTTTTTCTATTTTCAACACGTTTTGTTGTTGATTCAAGTTCAAGCGATGATGATGCTGAAATGGATGCACATTATCGTGCCCACACTCATCGTTTCGATCTAAATCGTGAACCTCGCGAACATTATCACGAATTTAGATCAGATCAGGCAGAATCATCTAATACTTCCCTCAACCGTTCCAGACGCCGTTACCACTATTTCGAGATGCCAGGATGGAAATTCGTGACGACGATGTACAATCTAGATTTAGAAGTAGACATTTAGAAAGAAATGAAATGGATCAGGCAGAATCATCTAATGCTTCACACAATCGTTTCAGACACCGTTACAACCGTCCAGGAAATTATCGTTACAACCTAACTAGTGACGACGATGAGGAACGCCGTCACGACCGTTCAATAGATGGTCGTCACAATCGTTATCAAAATAGAACAAGCGAGTCGCCAACTAATTATGATAGAGGAACAATACGCTCAGGTAATTTGTCTTTATACATATGCACCTCAACAATAACAAATCAACTCGGGTAGAATAAATATTATAAGTACTTATGTATAATTCCCGTAAAAAATTAAAATATATTTATTAGAAAATAAAAATAAACAAGAGTTAAATAACAAGAACGGTTTTCTAGAATAATTTTTAAAAGTCCTAGAAAAATTTTGGACATAATATAGTATACCAGACATTTAAAAATTTTGGTAATTCTTCGGTTTTCGCCCCCTCCTTTTTTCTTCCTTAAAGTATTAAAAAATGGTCAGTTCAGTCAACCTTAAGTTATAGAACTCATCGAGCTGTGTCGAATGACACCAAAATCAGAAAAATCGGACTTGATTTGACCGAAATGCAGACCCCTAGAAATTGAAAAACTATAAGGACGAAAATTTATACAAATGATAGCTCATTCGAAAGAGCTCGTCGAGTTGAGACGAATGACATCAAAATCAACGTGATTGGACAAGATTTGACAAAGTTATGACATAAGTCGCCGACTCCGTTAAGTCTAAATTAATGGCATAACTTAATTTAGTCAATCTTGTCCAATATTGATTTTTAGTCAATCTTGTCCAATTAGTCAAATCTTGTCCAATAACGTTGATTTTAGTGTCATTCGACTCAACTCGACGAGCTCTTTCGAATGAGTTATCATTAGCACGAACTTTTTTTATCCCAAAAAATCACCCCTGTGGTTGTTCAATTTTCAGGGTCTGTATCTCGGTCAAATCAAGTCGGATTTTTTTGATTTTGGTGTCATTCGACACACTCGACTGGATACTCATAAAAAATAAGGGAGAAAGGGAAGTAAAGATGTAAAAATGGTCAGAAAAGGAAGGGGGGGGGGGGCGAAAACCGAAGAATTACCAAAATTTTTCATGACGCTCATCCCTGGGTAGAACCCAGCGACCGTAGAACTCCGTGCGAAGCACAAAAACAGTGATGTTGTTCCTAAACGGTGGAAGTATTACCATAGCGTGGGATGTTGGTTCAAACCTGGAAAAGTTTTCCAACAACAACTGAGGGGGTTGTTGCAACGCTTTTAGCCTCCCAAAATTCAAAATGCAGCTCATATGGCCCTAAAAATTCGGAACTAATGCCCCTGACATAAAAAATTAAAAAATTATGAATTTTTTTGCTTATTTCCCAAGTATGAAATTAGAAGATACGCGGCCAAAAAAAGTCTTGATTTTTAAAATCTGAAGGACTTAGTTTTACAATTTTTTATAGTGTTGGAACAACTGGGAAGTTTTTCCAACAGCGGGGGATATTGGAACAACAACAGTAATGTTGTTCCTAAACGGTGGATGTATTACCAATAGGCTATTGTTTTTTTTTTCACAGTCCAATCTCTAATTCCTTAGATTTATATTGTGTAT